CTGCGGTTCACAAATACCACCCCAGCCCCCCCCCCCAGGGAGGTTGCCAGCATCCCAGGGATGGATCCTGCCCAGCTCCTTCCCAGGGGTCCCCCAGGAGCAGGGGCTCTCCCTGGGCTGCAGGCAAGGAAACTGAGGCAACCCCTGCCCCAAGTACCACCACCCCCTCCCCCTGGCACCCAAAGGATACTGAAGATGATGCCCCCGAAGCAGGCGGAGAAGGCCATGCGGGGATAGCCCTGCCGTGCCATGGTGAGGTCAGAGAAGGTGTCTGCAGAGGGAGAAGGGAAGACCTTGGGGGCTGCCAGGAGGACGGGTGCGCCTGGGGTGGCACTGGGGCGCAGCAGAGCCCTTACCGCCGATGCTGTTGCCCCAGGCCAGCAGGGTCAGGCCCAGCACGGTGTTGCTGAGCTGGAAGATGACGCCCAGGGTCCGGAGGATGTTCACTAGCTCTGTGGCCGCAGCATTGATCCACATGGCGCTGGCCAAAAACCCAAGGAAGGCAAATACCTGCCAGGCAGAGGGGTAAGCTGGTCCCTGCGTGCGCCCCACAGGACCCTGCACACTTCCAGCCAGCTGCGTCCCTCCTGGGGACATTGGAGACTGGGAAGGATGTCCTGGCTCCCGGTCTGCCCCCAGGACACCAAGCCCAGTCCAGGGCGGGTCCCCGGTGGGTGTTCAGGGCTGGGGGGCACCTTACGCAGTGGTACTTCGGCGGCTCCTCGTTGCTTGTGGTGATGAAGGTGATGATGGCCAGGACAGAGCCAACCAGTGTGACCAGTCCCCAGACTGGGAAGACACCCTGGATCTGGTACAGCCCATCTGCATGTGGTGGAGAGAGGGGGCATCAGAGCGGCCCCGCAGGCACCACATGGGCTGGGGCAGGATCCGACCTGGCTCGTGGTATGAGGTAAAGCCTTGTCCCCTAAAGCCACCTCTACCCTAAGCCCTCACAGGGCTGCTCCCCTCCGTGCCTCAGTTTCCCCAGACAGGACAGATGCTGGGGAGGACAGAGCCATCCAGTTGCAAACCAGGTTCCCCAGCTTGGCTCTTTGCTGGCCCATCCTTCCCTCCCCAGATGGGGTACCAGCTCCAAGGGGCTCCTGCGGTCCCCAGGGCTTTGGTGACCACCTTGGTCCTGTCCCCGCCCTGGGTGTCCAGGGCTGCTAGGGCTCTTACAGGTGCCTGACTTCAAGGTGAGGACGCAGAGCAGGGGGCTGGTGAGGATGTGCAGGCAGTTGAGGGGTCTCTTCCAGTTCAGGTCATCCTTGTCAGGGTCCACGATGGGAACGGTGAGCAGCAGGACCAGCTCCACAGGCACCTGGGGGAGGAGCGGCCGTGAGTGCAGCCATGAGGAGGGTTGGGGAACCCCCAAGACAGGGCACCCCAGGCGGTGCCCCATGACTGTCCCCAACCCACCTGCCGTTTGTCCCAGCATCCTCATTGCAAAACCCAGGGGTGACGCAACCCCAGGGGCCAGCAGGGAGTGGGACACCCCGTGCAGGGGGCTCCTCCCGGCCTGTGTCCCCCCCACTCACCTTGAAGACCTTGAAGAGCCGCCAGTACCAGGGCTTCCTCCTCCACTTGCGGTAGTCCAAGGGGCTGAGGGCAGTGGTGAGGATGCGCAGGGAGGTCTCCCGGGAGGGGAGCAGGGGCTGGTACTCCTCGCCTGCGAGGGGCCGTGGTGCCTGAGCAGGGTGGGGGGCTCCCTGGTGCCTCCCCCCCCGGCTCATTCCAGCATGGGGCTTCGGTCGCCTGGGCGGCCCCAGGGAGATCCCCCTTCCCTGGGGTAGCACCCAGCCGCGGCCGCCCCGTGGGCTCGGTGACACATGCAGCAGCGTGGGGGACCCTGGGACCCCCAACCACCCCCAAGGACAGAGCAGAGCCAGCCCCGAGCCCACCAGGAACGACGTACCGTAGTCTCCGCTGTTCGTGCCTGAGGACTCCTGCTCTTCAGTATCTGTTGGC